AAAAGGAATCTACAACACATGTGCTATACACACACAAGTAAACAGACAAGCAAGCGTAGCACGCATACTCTTTGCAGGATTTTTTGGAATCTTTTCTACATCTATAAACAAAATTCTTTTAGACGCACAAATAAAAGAATACAACACAAAAATAGCAACACGGCAGAACACATACGACGAAGAACATAACAATGTAGACACAACGCCAACAGCACCACAGTTACCACCCCTACCACATAACCATCCACTATCCCTCGTCCCGCGAAATTTTCGAAATTTAGCAATAACACATAATCCAAATTTTCGACCAACCATATCACAAAGTCCCATCCAACATATAATGACACACCAGTCACAAGATGATAATACTTATGAACAAATTATTGAACAACCCCATACCACCGCTTTTCAGTCTCAAAATAATAATTTTTTTAGCCCACGATGAGCCGACAACTTGGATCCCTACACCGCTCAAATTCCCACCCAACCAACCTCACCACTCCAATCAAAATAATTCCACTTTTTGCTTTCCCGCCACCCGATTTCCCAACCATTAATTTAACATCAGGCATGAATTCAGATACTAATTCACAAATCTCAGTTTTATATTCCACTTCACAACTCAATAACCCGAATATTGAAACCCCCGATGAATTTGCCGACTCTGAACCATCTCCATCCAATAATTTTCACACCAATCCCTCAATTTTTTCCCAACCCCCTTTTCAACCAATACTACCAAATAACCCTGTCCCAACCAATTCTACACCCTCTTATGCTTCCCAAGTCACTCCAACCAACTCTTCACTTCATTCAGACCGATCATCCAATTCTCCAGACACCCCCCAAATCTCCCCAGAACTAGATAATTTTATTACCCTACAACAACAACCCTACCACCTTGACACCCCCACTATAAACCAAATTTCATCCACAATAGATTCATCCAACCCACCTACCCCTACACCCTCTTCAGTTTATACCGAATCATTAGCACCATCATCCACATCTACTGAATCTTCACTCAGCACTAATAGAGCTTATCGCACTTTTAAAAGAAAGTTCCCAAACCATCCTTTCCCAGCAAAACCAGGAACAGCCCGTGAATATATCAATCATCCAAATCACACTAACACGAAAGAATTTTTAGCTATCACCTAAACCTCATTTCCACAATACACCTTAAACACCCCTCACGACACTAACGAAACACGTAATTTTGTAGACGAACACGTTTTAATACCTACCCTTCCATGGACCTCATATTATCATTTTACTAATCCCCTTTGCTTACCTTTATCTAACACTCACATCGATATAGAACGAAATAAAGACATGCTATATCGACTCACTACACCACTAACACCTAGACAATTTACTTACATCGGATATAAAAAGTCACTAAAAACATACACTGCACCCCGAGCTAACGAATATACGCTAGAATATTACGATCATAACATCATCAGAACTAACCAAGATCAATTTTCAGACGATGATCGCTTCGCTAACCCACAAATCACAGAAAAATTTTTCATTAAAACACCATATGTATTTACACTCAATATCTTTGATCGCAAATTTGACCACATCATTTCAGAAACACTAACAGACACACAAGCTTACGAAAGTTTTAAAGAACGCTTTCAATTATTTTCACTAACCTTTCATTTCCTTGCACCACATGAACGAGATTTGCACTGCTCACACGATATTATGTTGCGCACTAAACAAACTCACACATATACATATTATCGTTTTATCCAAAATCACTTCGACCTACACACTCACTCCAGACAGCCACACCACCGTTTTCAATTCATTAATTCCAAATACACCTCACCATTCTTTCTTAACTTCACATATTGCATTAAAGATACTAACCTTCATGGTATTCTTCGAAATTACGATCCAATAACCCAAATGTATATTTTTTGCCCCATCACCAAGACCTTCAACGCAGAAGAATCCCGACCCTTCCTTATCCCACACGAATTTGTTCAATCTATAGAAATCCCCATATTAGAATTCATCCACAACACTAAATTCAATCACAAATTATATAATCTAATCCAAAACACACCTTATGAGTTTGCAGTTGGCACTGAAGAACTAACCACCATTAAAGCACTTCAATTGCTTTGGCCACTGCTTCAAACTAAAAATATCATCCGCATCTTAGCTAAATTACTAACAACTTCCGATCTTATCCACGACATCTTCCCCCACGGTTTCTTCCCCGACGACTAACAGGTAAGTATGAATTATACATATTATTAACTAATTAAAATAGAATTAGAAACTAACCATTCTTTATCCATGTCTTCTTTAGAATTTTAGCCTTCATCCAACGATCATCTGAAAAATTCACAAAAGAAAAATAAAAAATCGAAAACTTCTTCAAACTGTTTAAAACTCTATTAATTTTTTGCACCAAACAATCAAATAAATATAATACCAATGCAGTAATTTAATTTATAAATTTTTTCCCCCACAAGCAGTAAATCTAATTATGATGAAAATTTGTAACTTAATTTTTCCCAACAAATAGCAGTAAAATTTGAATTTCTATGTAGTAAATTGATAAAACGAAAAGGCAGTACTAACCTTTTGATATTTCCATTCATTCGCACAAAAATTCTATCCACACTCGCACAGCTCGCCCACGAAGAATTGTTTAAAATAATGAATTTCAGTTTCAAGCTTTCACACTCAACAACTCTAACATAAGATAACACGTTTCAAACTTTCCTTTAACCCGGTTGGAAAGGAATTATATACTAAACAACACTAACCAACGCAGCTTACTAAACACCACAAATTATAGAATAACAGCATGACTAAGAAAAGGAAACCAACGGTACCCAAACCGGATGAACCCAGTTTAAAACTGGATAATTTATTCTTTTGAAGACTATTATAAAGTCTAAGAAAGAAATAATAAAACACAAAAAAGTCGAAAGACAAACCCATACCACAAACAATTTGATTTTTGAAAAAAGGACACAACCAACAAAACATAAGAAAAACCACAACAAACCCAACATAAAACGTTATCACATAACAGGACCTCTCACAAACACCGCATGCAATCATACTCCCACTCCTGGCCTAACCCACCAGAAGGACGTCCTGAGCATGCTCTATAGCCGGCCTAACCCACCGCGCTACATCCGCGCTTTGTGACACACACTCCTATTTTTAATAAGAGCTACTCAAGGGTGAGTAACTCTTCAAAATAACTGAACTAAAACAAAAAGCTTTTGTGAAAACAACTAACCAAAATCATAATTAAAAAATATTAAACTAATGAAAGTTTTATAAAATGTAAATTACATTATGCAATATATAGATCAGCATACAACACCAAGGACGAACATCCAAAGACAAAACGACCCCACTACACTCGAAAAAGAATGGCCAACTACAATCGATATGCCGCTCACAATCACAACTCAAAGGATTTAGAGTACGACTTGACTTCGCAGGAAAGGACTTCATTGAACTAGACCAATGACCACCTCGATGTTCAAGTATACGTACAGATCCGAGTAACCAGGCATCCCCTCCATGCACAATCTCCACGCCATTCCCAGACAAGATCAAACACAAAAGAAGTTCTCTACGAGAAACAGAAAAACCTGACATAGCCAACCATTCTGAAATCAGATTTGAGTTTGTTGCGGAAGCACAGTCGTTGTCGCAAGAAGACACAACGTTTGATGTCCCTAATTCCAGCATCCTGGAACTTCTCTAACAAGAAAAAACGGAAAAGAAATATGATGTTCGCCACATACCAACGTCCATCATCCATCCTTCGAATTGCAGAAAAACTATTCTAAAAAACTCTGTAAAACCCGGATGGGTGGAACCTGATCTAAACTACATTTTATGATTGGATAAATTAGATATTTTACCAATGTAAAGTATTTAATATTAACCAATCATGATCCATCTGACTAACAATCCACTTATTTGTAAGTGCTGAAATTACTTGTAATTTCATCACCAGAGAGATTTGAATTTAACTTAGAAATTAGTTGAACTCTCCCGAGTACTTCAGCAGCCGCAATAAACCAGTATACCCTAGATCTATTGAGCCTAGCAGAGACTAGTTAAACAACCTGAGACTAGATAGTATAAGAGTAAGATTAGGATCGGTATTAGACTAAGAAGTTGCACGAATCTATCCGGCCGAAAATAAGATAGCGTGACGAGCAGACGGTGTACCCTATCCGAAATTACTCTATGAGTTAACCACATAAGTTCTAACTCATTACCCTCCCGGGCTGAGGTATTTGACTCATAATTTGACCGAAACGGTCAAACGATGTCCGATTTTTCTCGCAAATTAAGACGGTCGAACGAATGATATAGTCTAACAGGGTCGAATCATACCAGGGTCGAATCATGCATACTCCCTTAAACTGCAAACATCCATAGTTCAAACGCAATTTTTTGTGAAGAAGTTTGGTAGTAATTCGTTGGCATTAAATGTGTTTTGGCATGGTCTAATCTCGATGTTCAACGGTAAAGCTAATGCAGCTGTTAATTTAGAAATAAATAACAAAATTATCACAAATTAACTTGCTCTCTATGAAGACCAACATATAGAAGAGCTTGTTGTGGGACGCACCTCATTCTCATTACCTAAATCTGCTACTCATCGTAGTTATAAGTTAGCGTATTAATTAGTATAAGTATCATTTTTACAATCTCAACAATTTCTTTGCGGATATCTATTAAGACATGGCTTTTTTCCAGTTCCCTGCCTTCTGTTCCATTTTTAGAATTAAATTGTCTGAAAGCTGTTCACACAGTTTTTGGTATAAAAATGTTAGAGAAACTTCATCTGAAGTTTTAGGTAGCCTGTCATAACAAAATAATTTAAAGAGAAAAAATTTGAAAAAAAAGTAAAAGTGTTGATTAACAAAAACTCAAAAAGTGTTGATTAACAAAGGAATTAGGAAAAAAGCCACGATTTAATAGTGTTTGTTAGTTCACTGCTCGCATTTCTCCTCTTCGTTTTCCAGTTTCTCTTTCTCGTCTGCGTCGTGAATAAGCTGACACGTCATCCATAACAGTCCCAGCTAAACAA